AACGTGATAGTGACTATAAGGCGATTGTGCCTATATAGAGGTATAAATAATATAAAAAAGGTTGGTAAAAAAAAAAAACGTGATTATATTGAGGTTGTGACTATAGAGGAGGTGACTATAGAGGGGGATGACTGTATATAGTATTATTTATATGTGCCAACCAAATTAGGTTTACAAAAAACATATTATATATAAGGACGCGTTATTTTGAGACATACATAAGCTATTTAACAAAAAATCAGATATCTCAAAATAACATTATATGCATTATAACGCGCAAATACGGTGCCAAAAATTTTTTATCTCTATAGTAAGAGAGGAATAGGCAGGTAAAATCTTTTACTCACATGATTGCTGCGTCTGTAAACTTGAGTTCATAGTTTTGCTGTAACGCAATCATGACGCAGCCGGACAAAATTCTACTAACAGCTAATGAAAGCACAGCCATCCTATTAAGTAAAATATTCCCGAACCAATTTTTACTGTGAAAGAATCCAAATTTTTCTTTTTGAATTCAAAAAAATTATCAAAGATAATCTTCGGCTAAATTATAATTTTGAAGATCATCGGCCTAAATTAAGTTAATGCAGGCCAACTGCCTGATCAATGTTACTGCAAAACACGATGCCTACTTAAGTTTTATCATCACTATATTTTAGGTTTTGTCACATTATAAAACTGATTTTAATAAATATTGTAGTTAAATGTAAAATAAACCAATAAAACCAGGTAAAGTATAACTATAATTAAAAAGATTGATTAAATAAACTACCACTATTATCGAAACTATTGGATATCAAACTGAAAGCATTGATTTATTAGTAAGTGGTAGGAAATTTGACTAATCGAATAATCGATTAGTCGACTAATCGACTAGTCAACTAATCGATTGGTCTTATATAGACAATAGTTAACCAATTAAATTTGCACATTAACCTTTGATTAATTACAGTAACTATATATATAGTCAATTAGATAACTAATCGATTAATCGACTAGTCGATTAGTTGATTAGTCGAATAGTCGATTATGTAGTTGATTAGTCGATTAGTTGACTAGTCGGCTAGTACATCGACTGATTACAAAACAATTTAGTCGATTAGTCGACTAATGACTTTATGATTCCTATCCTTACTTATGGAATAGCATTGAATTGATATCCGAATTCTACATGTGTATTCATGGATATTCACATAATAGCTATATAATTGAATATTCATTTTTAACAGTGGATAGTCCCGGATCCAACCTCTAGTTTGATTTCAAAAAGAACCATCGCTTACATGGCAGTTAATGAATAAAATATGGGGAATTTACAAAAATAATTGCAATTACGGGCCAAAATTAAAAATAATTACATATAAGAGCCTAATTTTTAAAAAATATTAAATAGTATAAGAAACGTAAGCATAAAAAATGTAACGATCGATTGTAAATTAGTAACTAACTATAAATGAGAAAAGAATTTTTTTTATTTAATAAATTTAATTTTCTTTGTATGAAATTGCTTATTGTTATAACAAACCATTATTATGATGTCAAGTAAAACATTGCGAATTGGCATGACATTTACTAATATGGAAGATGTTCGTTTAGCTTTAGAGAGCTACTCTGTTGAAACTTCGCCTTATGAATTATTGTGCTAGTTTAACACTATTTTTATGCAATATTTAAGTGAAAATGATTATAACTAGTACTTCATTTTCATTTTATCTAATAATCAGTATATAGATAACTCTAAATGTCTATAATAAAACAATCGATAATTCTATAATCGCGACTCTGCTATCGGTATAAACCTGTGTTCCGTTTTTCCAGCCATCAATATATTTGGGCCTTGATATGTAATTATTTTTAATTTGGACCCGTATTTGTAATTATTTCACTTTCCGGGCCCTTATTTGTAAATTCCCCGTAAAATCCTGGAAGTTTAGCAGTTAAAATGTTTTCGATTGTACTGTCTCAAACAACATACAAACGGAGTTTCTCTATCCTGAAATCGTTTCGTGGAGATCGAAGAAATCGATTTATGTCAATGTTGTGGATTTATTGGTCTTTAGAGATTCGAAAGAACTTTAATATTACGAAACATAAGAATAATTACGGGCGTTGCTAATATGATAACAATTCTTGTCACGGTGCTACGCGATACCCATGTGACTAGTGATCGGGTACGTGTTGATTGAATGGGATGACGACTTAATTAAAAGTCTAAATATTGATGCATTAACAATGTATATAGTAATCAATAGCGATTAGTAATAATCAGTGACGCGAATGTGTATTAGTAATAAATAAATAAGGTATCGATCCTAAAGGGGAGATACCAGATAGAACTTGGATTCTTTGTGAAAGAAGTTCTTGACCCGTAATTACCTTGTGTTATTCTTAGTGAATAAACTGTTAACTGTGTGGATACATTATCGGTGGTAGTATCTGGTACGATACTCCAGTCATCGTATAAATTAGCCAAGCGAGTAAAGACTGATAGTAAATATCAACAAATACACGGTAGTCTGGTAAACTCCGTGACAATTCTTTTAATTTATCTTCAAAAGCTGATATAGTTAATTTAAATGGCATATTCATGATGACGAGTCTTATATTTATGAATCAAAATTTTTTACTTTAACGAATTCTGATACATTTATGGCAATGTCAAAGATATAGTGGATCTTTTTTTTTTTTGATTTTAATAACATGGAACCGTATTTTAAAAATCTATCTACAATCTAAACCGATATCAAGCAAAGGTCGTATCGAAATTGTTATTGTTGATGAGGCCTTAGGATTGATAAAATAAAAAGACACGGCTTAAATAAATTTTTAGCATTTGTATCAGATTTTGTCGATCATTTGGTCTATATTGATCGACATTGGCCTGCATTAAGTTGATTTTGTAGTTGGATTTAAAGTTTATGCCAAAATTATGATTATTATTATTTTTTTTTATTAAAACATGAAAAGTTGTTTTAAGGCAGAATTTATGATAGATTATGATCGCAATACACGGCACAGAATTCTTTGAGTGAGAGAATATGTAAAGGTTATTATTAAATCACTAATGATTATGCTAATTAATACATACGAGCACTGGAGTCATTTCAGTAATGTAAGTCTCTGGAAATGTTGAGTCGTATTCCAGGTCTTACATTGACAAAACATCAAATTATTGAATAATTTATCCAAGTCTGACATCTCATTTCATAGTCGAAGTTATGTTTTTCACTTGAAAATTTTAGATACAGTTAGACCTCTCTAAATGCATAGGCTATGAAAAACCCCTCTAAATTCATGGCTTTGCTTAGCAGTTAGCCCCAACTCAAAATATTACTTATAGGTTTTTACTTTCCTAAATGCAATAGTGCGGCTATGCATTTAGAGATTGTATTTAAAGAGGTTTTCATAGGTTAATAAATATTCATCTATTTCATCTTTTGTCACCTTTTTCTTTCTAGATATTGATGTTGGTTTATCACTAAAAGATTTTAACAAGATTTTATTCAATAATGATTCAGAAAGAAAAGATGGAATAAGGTGGCATCCTTGATCTTTGCTATTTTTACGAGGAGGCATGATGGCAATTACATTCAGTATAAAGTGAAATTTTACTGTTTTTATAACGGAGTCTTGGAATACTCACAACGATACTAAAACAAATTCTAATTCAATGTATGAATACATGTGCAACACGTTTTGTTTGATTTACATTGCATAACCTTTTAATTATTTAAACTGAATGGACAGTACGTTTCTTTCGAAAGATACTATGAACCAAATCAGGCTTTTGGTTTCAGATTTAATTATGATAAACACTTTCATTAGCAGCAAAATAAAATAAAATAGAAAAATAGAATATACTTTTTATTAAAAATTATTATTATACTATGTAAATTTAACATAATAGACATTACGAATTAGATAAACTATTTACAATAGTTCGTTGTTCCAAGTAGGACATCCAATCATCCCACTTTACTTTCTTACCTGTATCATTAACGTAAAATATTTTATCATTCGTCGTTATTGACGATGAACCAACTAACGTGGTGTTGGATGACCAGCATCCAAAATTTTCACCATAACATGCCTGATGCATGTTATGGATATCATTATATAGCGGGCAACGACGTTCATCAAGTTTTATTTTATTATACCTGGTATCCGTAGTTCCCTCCTCCTTATCAAGAGGATATATTTTTAATGTCATAAGGGTAAAATCGCTGGCGATCTTACCCGTACATGTTTTTAAATGTTCAGTGATAGCTTGTTTATCATATTTATTAGTTACAAAACTACACTTTTTCCAAGATGAACCCCTTCCCTTTGAAGAGAACTGGACTGGGTATGTGAGACCACATGCATATTTGCAATTGCAAATATGACTTAAATTTTTACATCTCGAACAACAGATATGGTAACCTGATTTTGTACACAAAGGACATGGAAATCTTTTTCTCCATGTGAATTTGAGAAAATTACCATTCATTTTTATATCATTGACCAGGTCAAAAAATATTTCAGGAGTTATGCCAAAACGTGAATGGAATCCTTTAGAAAAGAATTCCTGAACAGAAATAAATTCCTCTCTGGGAGGAGGTGATAGTGGTGGGGTGCCGGCAAAATTGTTATTTAAAGATGAAGAAGACGGTAAATAACATGGTGATTGTAACAGTGATGGAATGTAAGATTTTTTATTCATGCACCTCTGAAGAATTTTAATTAAGTTTTCGGCTTCGTAATTAGTTAAAGAATTAGTGATTTCAATAAGGTTTGATTGGAAAGTCATGATTTCAGTTTTTTTTTTTTTTAATTTGGAAATTGAAAATTGTAGTATGAATATAGAAATTATAATGTGTATGTGTTTTGAATTGAGTTTGACATGGAATCGATCTATGGAATTTATAATTATTCCCTGTTACACTCGATACGTGATCTACACAATCCTGTAGATTTGAATTAATCATTAAAAAGAATCGGTTTTGGATGATTATCTCACAGATCATGAATGAATGGATCTGGTGTGTCAATCGTTATCTAGTTTGTTCATGCAATTTGACAACGTTTGAGGATTATGATATTTGTCAATCTTTTGTTTGATGTACGTTTCCATAGCTTTAACCTCCATCCCTAAGCAAACCGATAAAAATGTACTTTCCTTACTAAAGTAATGCATCGCGTCAATCTCATGAACATCTGGATCAAACTCATCTACAAGTCTCATTCTAGGAGCAACATCTTTAGTGCCTGGTTGTTTCACAATAACGTATTCGAATCATCCATTTATTTTCTTATCAGGATTCCTCGAATAGTAGAGGTTCAAAAAATTTTTAATTTGTATATTACCACCTTTCTCGTAATCTACTGGTTTAAGTGCAGTATTTCTATATTTTAGTGTACCATCACCGAGTCTTACCCAAGAAGTTTTCTTAGTCCAGTCTATTTCAAATTTGTAAACTTTTTTCTCATCGTGTTCAACAACACGTTGATTATATAAGATTAGTTTATTGTTGATCACTTTCCACCAACCACATTTGAAATTTTTATGTTGTATTTTGTCACATATAGTAGTAATATTTATTTTATCACCCGAAACCTTTGCATTCTTGGCAAAAATAATAATATTTGATTTTATGTCTTTTGATAAAGCTAAATCTATCATTTCATCCAGGACTTGATCTGCACAATGTCTCATCCAGTTGTATTGTCCCTTATATATATAAAAATTTACATAGTCTTCGATTGTTTTAAGCCCAAGGTTGTACATATACTCAGCCATTTTTTTATAATCGTAAACATTATAAAGTACTTTACGTTCAAACATTAGGGAGGTCGCATTTAGGAAGTCTGACTGTACCTTAATAACGTAATAAGTATTCTGTAAATTTGTTTTTTCGATATTTATTGTTATTCATTGTTTAAATTTTAAAAATTTTAGATACTCACGTATCAATAATAGTTATTCAACTTTCGACTTGTTTTAAATTTAGCATACATACCATAATAACAGTCAACTACTGTATGTTATTGAATTTTGGATTAAAAAGATTTAAACTCTAGGTTCTGTATTTGTTTGGCATGTAGTCGTATACCAACTCCATTAGATACTGTATACACGGTACGTTATAAAGAGTCTATTCTGGTTCTGCTCACTTTCATTTTCATAGACAATCACTCATAGACATCTTAGTTCACAAACAATCACTTCACAATCTTATTTTACAGGTTGACAATTCATTTTACAGACAGGTTTATCTCATTAATTTTACTATGAAAGGTTGGGGCTTAGAATCATTTTTAAGATTAAGGCAAGTTTTAATAGTTTATGTAAGAAATGAACTTGTCGTGTTGGTGAAATAAACTCTCTACAAAGGAGCAATTGATTAGCTGTAAAATAAACCAGTCTGTGAATTAATGTTAAATCTAAGATGCCGATGCCTATGAAATGAAATGATACGTGTCCCTATTCTATTCTCTGTGACTAAGCCATGGGTGAAGTTAATATCTTTGTATACAGCAATTATCTCACAATAATGTTGGCTTTCATCTAAATCAACATTGGTTTCGCAATAATATTGATTTCTTAGTTGGAAAACTAATTAAAACACCAGACAATACACATTAATATAAATTTTAATTTTATTAAAAATTAAATAAATTTCAACTCGAAACCTACTACAAGTTCCACTTCAAAATAAATTCTGTATCTTAGAACAATGAACTAGCAAAGAAAAAAAAATAAAGAAATATGTAGCCTATGTGGATATATAATAATCAATTAGATAATAAGTAAAAAAATAATACATTGTCCGACAAAGGTATAGTCTTTGCTACCACATCTTACTAAGAACAGAAAAAGAAAAACTATTTAATGCTAAGGTTAAAAAAGCATCTTTTATTGCTGTATCTAAATTTACTAAAGTTTTAAATAAAAGCAATGAATAATTAAAAAATAATAATATTGCTATTCTACGCTTTATAATGTTGTTAAAATATAATATTTTTCATTTTAGTAAATAAATAAACAGCTTTTAAATTTTTTAAAAATATTACAATTATAAATTGCATTAAAATGAGAAAAAAAAAGGAGGAAGAATCAACTATATAATTTATATTTTCTCCCAACCTATTTTAAATTAAAATCCAAACAGAGGACAACCGTATAAATTTGCCCAATGCCCAGTTATTGACTAATATGTATAAAATAGTATAAAATACTTACACAATAGCAATATACTATGTCCTATCCATTCAAATTTACATATTTTATTTTACCAAATGTTTTTAATATTTTCTAAAAAATTTATTCGATTTCATTTCTATTATTATTTTATTTTTACACTATTTTTTAGATTTAGATTTTTCAGAGTGACTAAATGTTTGTATTGTTTGAGAACTCTCGTCGAATTATTCAGTTTCTTCTTCAGTTGTTTCTGTGGTAGTTCTATAGATCGTCTCAGTTCCTCCTCCAGGTAATTGGTGTGTCTCCTGTGTTGTATATGTACGAGAACCACCGTGATTTCCACCGTGATTTCCGCCTTGCAATTCTCGGAACTCTTGACCACTATTTTCTGTGGTAGTTGTATAGACTGTCTCAGTTACTCCTCCAGGTAATTGGTGTGTCTCCTCTGTTGTATATGTACGAGAACCACCGTGATTTCCGCCGTGATTTCCGCCTTGATTTCCGCCTTGCAATTCTCGGAATTCTTGATCACCTAGCCAAGTGGTTGTAGTAGTTGTTGGAGTGCCTCCTCTTATAGTAGTTGTCGTAGTAGTTGTTTGACTACTTGGTGAATGGTAAGTTGTTGTTTGTTCCCTTGTACTCATAGGTGAGCGAATTATTTCAGGTGCATCACCTTGGCTAATTTGCATTTGTGGTCGATGAGTGTCACTTGTAATATTAGGAGCATCACCTAGAGTGTAAGTACGTTCATCAACAATTATTTCGCCTCCATCACCTTGTCTATGTGATCGATGCACATCATGCTGAGAGTCAAATTCTTCACGAGTTGTTTCAGGAACATAAACCTGTTCTTCTCTGATGTGGGTGATGCCATCAACTACATATTGCGTTCTTCTAGTTTCGAAATGACCATCTGATGGTAAGTCCATCATTTGACTTTCAGTGTATTTTCCTATTGGTCTTTCAACATCACTACTAATGTCACTTATACGCGCTCCTACTCCAGTGCCAGGGGGGCGAAGTGTTTTGGATTCTTGGGCTTTGGAAGTATCTTTTCCTTTCTTTCCATTCTTTACATCGGACATTATACCAGGTTCGACAAATGCTGGATGCTTTCCTGGAGGCTTTTCATGGCTATCTCTAATATCTATAAGTGGATCTGGATCCGAAAGTGTAACTATATGTGTCTGGCCTAGTGGCCGATTATCTGGTTTCTTATCCGTTTTCTTTGGTGGTTTTTCCGCTATAAATAAAAAATGTCGTGTATAAATAAAAAGGGTTAGATTTAAAATTAAAAAATTTGATTAAAAGTATTGTGAAAAAAAAAAAAAAAGAATATTACAAGACGCATCAGCATAAGCTTCTCTCTTAGGTTCATCGTCGAGAATTTCATCCTCATATCGCCATTCTCGTTCACAGAAGAATGCAAGATATATTATTGATATGACTCTGAGAACTATGAGAATAGAGCATGAAGAAAGTACAAGAATAGGAATAATGGCCGGAATGATAGTAACTTTTTGATAAATGATCTACATAAATAAAATAAATTAGTTTATTACTAACAAAGGCACCACAAATTATACATGATATTTTTTAAATTGTTTACCAAAAATATAAACTGAGGCACGTCTTCAATAAGTAGAAGAATAGTAGTAGCATAGAAAATCCGCCTATCTGCTTCTGGTGAGTAAGGTGCGTTTAGTGAACCAATGCTAGCAGTGCGTGAAGATGCCACGTTCAAAGCTTCGACATCAAGTCCGGCTAAAAGCGTTGTAGCTAGAGCAGTGCGACTATGCATTTGCCACCATTTTCTATATTTATCTTCATTAAGTTCGCGACTAATAATTAAAAACGTAAACAGGGTGCTGAAGGCGACGGGAACCACTAAGAAAACAACGCTGAAAAAAAAAACAAACCAAAAAAAAACAATATTTAATTTATTGATTAATCTCAAACTCAAAATATATATATTTCATTGTTAAAAGAATTTAACAAACCTGACAGGCAAAATCCACTTTTCATCCTTTCCATGAAAAACAATAAATAAAATGTCTAATACGAGATCCACTATTATCAACGTAGACACAAAAATGGTCAAGAAGTTAAGCATCGCATATTGTCGACGTTTCGCTTTTCCAAATCTCTTTAAAATAAAAAATCACGAATATTTTAACATATTATGTAAAAAATATATATATATATATTCATATCACGTTCATATTTATAGACTACTCACACTGTAGCGTCTACGACATGCAAGCCACCATAAAAGACCTAACAACGCAAGTCCAACAAAGACGCCAATAAGGATATATTTGTATCTATTCCATAAGACAGCTATATAAAAATTAATTAATTATGTATAATTGGTAAATGTACAAAGAAATACGCATGAACATAAGACATCATGAATATCATGAATATTATGAGAACTTACGTAATAACCAAGCACCATTATATTGATCAAGGTTTTTGGAATTGGTACCAGTGGAAATTGGTGAAGAAGACTTGTACGTGATCATGTCATTTAAGTCGTTAGCAAGGTAAGATGCACCTCTATCCTGGCTTTGACTGCCTTGGGCGATGTTAACACGCATAAAAATTTGATCGCCAGAATTATTAAAATTACTGTATTGATAATGTGTCGGTATTTTAATACGCGAGGAATCGCATTCAAGAGCCGTGGCAATTTCATCACCCAAATTTTTGGCAAATGTGGATTGATCATTTGGTGATAAATTTACGTATTGTTTAGTTCCGTCGGGGGTTAGACGAACGATAGTGGATGCACCACCTATGCATTAAATTTACGTTAATTAATAGATATTTTCTTTTTGCAATCTCATATACCTTCCCACAATTATTGTCATATACTGTTATATAGACTACAATTCAATATGTTTGATAATCCATGACAATTTACAGACAAATTTCTTGCAAGAAGGTGTAAAAAAATAAATATTTAGAAATTTATAATTACCCGAAGAAGTATCACTAGCCGCAGCTAAAATAAAACATAAAAATGTATTAATAAAAGAAAGTAACAGAAATAATAACTATGCACATAGTTACAAACATGATAAATACATGTAGAGAAATTCCACACTAATCTGTCGATACCATTAATATTCTGATCTGCTGTCGCATATTTTATTGCGTCATCATCTACTGTGGTGTAATATTGCTTATTACCACTCGCTGTATAGAATGGGAACAGACTTACAGTTACATTTGTATTGTCAATTTTAACTCTATCATCAGAGGCTGGAATTTGGCCACGCAAAATGTCATCACCTCCAGTGGTGTTTACTTCCCAGATTTTGAAAAATCCAGTGGATTTACTAACTGGAACAGCGTACGTTAAGCCAAGCGCTGAAACTGGTGGCGAAACGACCGTGTTCGGAGCTGGTGAGAGACTGACGACTGAACCAAACGCTCCACCTATTTTTAAATAAAAGTAGATTTAGATCAGTAAAGCTTACAATATTTGTAACAATTTCAACTATCGCTTACCTGGACGGAAATCTGATAGCGAGTCGGATGACGCAATTGTCCAAGTTGAACTATTTGAATTACTATTATTATTATTATTATTATTATTATTCCCGGTTGGGATAATGGCCCATATAGTATTGTTTGGGGAATCGCCAGCGATCGGACTATTGGATGTAAAATCAGGGATGTCCCAAGGACCATACGAAGTTCCATTTTCGTAATATATAAACCCTTTAACATTGCTAGCTTGACCAGTGTTTGTAGAGTTCTCAGCAATAAAAATATAACCTCCATGGCTTAAAGGCTCAACATCTATCACATTATATGTAGTATATGGGGCAGGCAAATTTAAATTAATTTCATCCGTTTTATTGACATTACCATTTTTCCAAAAGTTAATATTGACGTATACGGTTTTATCAGTTCGTTTAGTATATACTAAGCAGTTGTATCCAATTGAATCATGTGCAACAGAACATTGGTACAAATTATAATCAGTAGTATTTGTACCGGGCTGTGAATCATATATAGATACATCTCCTGTCATCGAAGAGTCTTGGCTGGAAATCCACATTGCATAAAGTGACCATTTAGTTGTTGAACTTGTTATCCCTAGTCCAGACTGGGGCACAATTTTAGTGTAAACTAATCCGTAATCATCATTCTCAATAGGAAAAATTTTTATATATTTTGAGAATTGTGTCATATTGGAAATCTGAGCAATTTCGCTGGTTTGGCCACTTGATCTTTTCGTGATTGAACCATCTGTGTTCCTAAAAAATCAAGATTGTTTAATGCCAGAACTTTGTAAAAAAAAAAAAATAAAACTTTAGCACGCAAAAACTATTTCCAAAAAAAACTTACAATATATATGGTGTCCAAGTTAAAGTATTAGTTGTATAATCGTAACATGTGTACATAAATCCATCATATTTATAGCTTTTAATTATTTGGCTAGCTGTACAACTTTTATCAAATGTAATCACATCTCTACGTAATAGATAAATTAACAAATATGAGGTAATTAATAAATTAATCATTCATCATATTAAGAAAAAATTATCAAATTTAACTCACCCTCGAGCACTTTTAGTAGACCAATCTACTATAATTCCACACCTTTGATAGGATTGCGAAGGATAATTACAATAATATGTTACAAGGACTAATGGTTTGGTTAGAGCATAAATAACGATACTATCACCATATAACCCATACGATCCAGAAGTTTTTGATGGTGGTATAACAATACCGGTTCCGTTTGAAGAAATTGGTATAGTAGAACTTCCACTCGGTACGGGTGTTGTACTTGGTGTTCCGCCATTTGGTGTTGTTCCTGTTCCACTACCATTTCCACCATTTCCACCACTTGTTCCTGATCCTGTTCCACTACCATTTCCACCACTTGTTCCTGTTCCACTACCATTTCCACCATTTCCTGAACCTGTTCCACTACCGTTTCCACCATTTCCTGATCCTGTTCCACTACCATTTCCACCATTTCCTGTTCCACTACCATTTCCACCATTTCCACCACTTGACGTTCCTCCACAATTTTCAAAGTCATTACTACAAGATTTTTTGCAATTATCCACAGATGTTTGACAATTATTTTTGCAATCTTCATATAAATTACAAAGATTTTTACAATTCACATCAGAATCTTTACAACCATTTGCACAATCCTCCCCGGGTTGTTTACAAGAATTTTCACAATCCTTTTCACAATTTTTTTCACAATCCGCCTCAGAATCTTTACAATCTTTTTTTCCTGGTTGTTCCGTTGGCTTACTTTCATGATAATCATAAGTGGTTGTACAATCTTCAGATTCATCTGGATTCTTCGGATGTTCGGTTGGTTTACTTTCGTAATGGCCAGTCGTTGTACAATCTTCGGGTTTATCATCTGAATGCTCCGGATACTTATGAATTGGATGTTCTACTGGCTTACTTTCATTTTCATCACAATCTTCTTCATTCTCTTGGTAATTTCTTTTTTGTATATTACTACTAGCCGGAAAACAAAAATTATTTTGAGGTATAGAACTATTGTAATAATCACATGGGGTTTCAGTACCATCTTTAGAAATTATACGAAAATGTAATGTATTGTCTGAACATGATCCTGTACTAGATTTAAGTAATATAATAATTGTATCGTCAGAGTAAGTATCAACTTGAGCTACTGTTAGTTGACCATTTTCACTATACGACTTTGTAGTAGTTTTCGCATCAGATATTATTATTAAAAAACACAAAATTAATAATGATGAAAGAGCCACGCGTTTAAGATGAACTTGCTCTTTCCAACTATTTAGTAGCATGTTGGTAAGAGTCCGAACTTCCCGGGAACTTTTTAGAAAAAAAAGGTTATACCCACAATCCGAGAGGATAGGGAGGGGTTTTCAAATTTGATGAGAACTCAATTAAATAGAATTTTTGAATGGCGCCAAACGTGTACAACGGTGCGGGTAACCTACAACAACATATATATTTATACGTATATACTAAACTCTATTCGATTCCATTGTGAAAAATTCGTACGTATGTAAGCAAGTACAATCTTTTTTTAGGCCATGTTTATGAGAAAGATAAAAATTGACCGTGTAACCGAACTAACTACGACATTTCTGCATTTATAAACAAATTAAATCTGTAATGACTTATTTAAATTTTCTAAAATAATAAATCATTGTTGATTGTTTAGTAACACAAAGAATAACCGGGGAAAAAATTCCAACTTGGTCAATATCCTTCTTGTTTAACGCCATTAATATTTCTTTAACCGGAAGTCGCCGCGCGCCGTGCATAGTAACCCAATAATATCTGATATGAAAATTTTTACAGTTTTGAGATTTATCATCATGCAGTTTATCCGGACAATATTTATCATTATTCAAATAAAGAATTTCAATGTTTCACAGATTCCATATTGATTTATTGTCCTTGACGGCCGATCCAAGGAATTGATTTGAAATTGACACTTAAGTACATAGTTACAATCACATATTAGTAAATTTCAACTAAATATATGCTATACTAAATTATGTCTATGAAGATACTTGACTATCAAAGGTTACTACAAACTTCGGGGGAATGTTCAACATTGCATCTCCAAAATATATATGTGATGAATAAAAATCCATCCCTGCATTTCTTTCCCTTATTCTTTTAATTAACAATGCTATACAAAGTTAGAATTCTTCTTCCATACACGATTTACATATTAAGTCATTTAAATAAAAATAAAAGAATAAAAAATTTAAATTTTATTGATTACCGTTACATTGTTTAAATACTCTTTAAGATATTGACCGTTAATTTTTCCAAATCTTCATATTATCCTAAATAGAGAATAAACCCTTTATTACGTCATTTGCTATAATTAATGTTTAGACGGTTGTTTGAAATTTAATTCATTAAATTTGTGATGTGCATCAATTGTACTACTACATTGCATTTTTTTAAATGAACGGTATTTTGTATATAAATTATTGTATTACTGTATTAGAACTTAGTCTATAATTAGATTTAAACTATAAATTAAAAAAAGTGGCTGGAAGAATTAATCGAGTAGTAAGATGGTTCGATCACACATTTGATCATACGTATAAATCATACGTTTATATAGTAAAAATTTTAACTTTGAATTTATTATTCAACCAATTAAACTAAAATGTTTGTAACACGATCTCAAAAATCAAAAATATATTTTTTTTATGGTAAATATTTAGAAATAATCAAAAAATAGTAATAATGATTATTAAAGATAAATTCTAAGATATATTGTAGATTTAAAAGGTATATAGCAAATCTTTTTCTGAGAATCCTTTTTAAGAAATATATGCAAATTGATGTAAGTATGCATTTAGAGTGGGAAATTTATAAATACTCTCAATGCTTGGAATTTAGAAATTTTCTATTTTATACTATATACCAAAAAATCAGAATTTATATCGAGTTTATCGCCAAAAATTGAAAAATAGTTTAGAAACCTATCTTAGGACCAACTGAGGGCGTGCATTTAGTGAGAATGTATATATTGCGTGTATTTATAGTGAATGCGTAAATTTATACGTAGTGGTTGACTGAAATATATATATTTAGTAGCTAGCAATAGGAAACCATCAACAGAAAAAAGCATTTTTTTTCGAAAGATAGCCTTTATCTCGAGATTTTGCTTATGAAATCACCTGCGTCCTGGCAAAACAAGTTTTTTGATATTTAGAATATATCACTCTATTTTCCTAATTAAAAGGTTATTTCTAAAAAAAAATGCTTTAGATGTTAATCCTGCCAATAGGGAAACTTGGATGTTGTTGTTACACGTATCAGGTATCAGTATTCTCCCTACGGTTATCCGAATAACCTGACCGGCTAAAATTATGTCGTGAAAATCGTCTCCAGAATAGGTCGAGTACCCGTAGGTAGATCCACAAAGACCGGGCTTGGATATCGATTTCGGATAGAGCCAATGTACTATCACTACCCGGCTCTATCCGGCTCATGCGGAAACATTACCGAAACCTATCATAATTATCATTAGAACAGGGTGAACTTTGAGCTAGTAAAACCTACTACATAGATCATTCGGCAGACAATCACTTCATAGGCACCGACAATTAATTCACAGACAAATTTATTTTATAGACAATCAATTCACAGACAAGCTCGATTCATAATTTATTTTACGGATAGACAACTTATTTTATCGACGGTTCATTTCGCATAAGGTTGGCGAGGGGGATGTTCTTGGACTTTAGGATTTTCGGACGGACAATTTAGGACTGTTATGAAAATATGGTCGCTTTGTATTAATCATGTCCGAAATCATGATAACTAATCACATGACATTTAATCCATAATATCCAGCGTTCAAAATCCCGACCGACAAAAAATCCTGACAATAAAAATCCAGACAAATCCCGACAACAAAAAATTATTAAACTCATTTAAGTTAGGTTAGGGTTTAGGCGATTATACAGTAAAATTGCTCAAGGAAAACTTTTTATGATTGTCGATTGTCGGGATTTTTTTTGTCGGGATTATGACCTATCGGGATTTTGACCAAAACCCATCTAGCTTATACTCGTTATTCGAAATATTAATATCAATCATGTTTTTTATTATGTAAAAGCGGATTGCACTCGTGGGTAAATGGCTTTACTGGCTCACAACTCAGGCTTCACCCTGTCATACTATTAATATACATTATATAGCAACAATTAGAGATACAGTTACATGATATTTAGACCTATATCCAATTATATATATATCAATATATGGGACCTCCCACAGCAAAAGGGTGCATTGGGCCAAAAAAAGTTTTTTTTTATTTTAATTGATTTCTTGAAGAATTAGACTAATAGGATTACAATTTTTATAAAATTACAAAATTAAAATTTTTGTCCCAATGCACCTTTTTGCTGTGGGGGTCCCTATATTTTTAAAGTATAAATAGTAAGGTTCCTACGTTTGAGTTTTGGCTTGATTTGAGTTTTATCAAACTCAAACTCAAAGCAAAAATATAGTTATAAAATTTAATTGAGCTTGAATATATATATATAATATAAAGTTCACATTAGTGATGCCGACATAACTTTTAACAGCACTATGTTTTTGTTTTATCACGTGGTAAAATTGATTTAACTTTTATTATAGATTAATATGCTAACTTTTATCGTAGGTTAAAACTGTTAATATGCAATAAAACTATAACTTAAGAAATAAATTGAGCATTATTTTTTTAATATTTGCACTTAATAATTATTGTTCCTGCCTTTTTTTTATTTTAATTAATACTTGTGCTTAACATTTATCAAGCATTGCTTTTTTTAAAAAATTAATATTTCACTTAACATTTATTGAGCATACTTTTTTTTTTTTTTATCTTAATTAATAATTGCGCTTAACATTTATTGAGCATTATTTTATTTAATTACTATTTGCATTTAACATTAATCAAGAATTATTATTTTATTTTATTTTATTTTTTTTTTTAAATATTAAGGTGAGGCCTTGCTCATATCTTTATTAAGTAATTTATATAAGTAATTACATAAAATT